CCAAAACCCTTGCAATTTCAAACTTTGGTGTGAGGTTTTACAAGAAATTTGGTATCTTCACCTGAGTTGATAATATAAATCGGCCACCGCAAAGAGTTTCTAAAGCTGATGTTCCAAGCATTATCCCATCATTGGAGCCTGTTTTGGTCCTCTTAACCCTTCAAAACAGCTTTAGAAACCCTATACCATGGCTAATTTACATTGTCAACTCTGTCAATTGATAAAACTGAATAACCTGATAGCCTAAAGGGCTTCTGAGGTTTATCCCCAGGAGCTATATAATGATGACGACTGTTTTATGTGAAATAATTTCAATAAAAAATTGCAACACTGCATAAATTTACACTTACCACCAGTTCTAATTTTTATACCTTTACTTTCCCCATTGTATCTCTTTTCCATTGAATCAATTGTGCGATCATACTCTTTATCATACTCAAGTTGCATCATTTGGGCCAAGAGAAAATCATTTTCAGTGTCTGGACTTGTTCCTCCTAGAAAAAAATAACAATATTTTATCGCATAATTTAGAATTACACTCAACAAAACATTGAGAGGAAATATCATCTAAGTAACTTTTAATTACTAAGAGCTGAGCTGCTGACAAGGAGAATTTGTCCAATAATCATACGCTGCGCTAGTTGGTAGTCACTTTCTCTATCCTTATGGTCAATAATGTTTGGTTCAGGCATGATGGTGTAAGGAGAAATTAGATGCTAGTCACTCTAGATAACGCTTTAAAGGGTTGATAGTAGAATAAACACTTGTATTCAAAATTATGAATGCTAAATAAGCTTATTTCAATAAACTGATTGTCTTCCCTGTCAAGGAATTAACTGTTTGTCGCCTTTGAGTGACTACCATCTAATCACTCCTAACGATATCACCCCTGAATCATATACATATACATTAATATCATGAAAATAAAGGAAATGATCACCAACTACAGAAGCTCTTGATTGTTAAACAAATTCTCTTTGTCAGCACCTTAGGAAATGTCTAAGGAGCAGAATGGAGAATATGCATACTAACATCAGTGTGGAAAGGCTTAAGCATTGATTGTTAGCATTTATTAAAGTCAACACAATGATGTTGCAAAGGTAATAAAATGCATTACTACTTTCAAAAATTCAAAAATAACACAAAAAAACAGTAACACATTGTTTGATGAGGTGATTGAAGTGTGAAGCAAATGTTATATTGGGGTGACAGCAGATTGCTCACTTAAAACCGAAACTACTAGAAAATCATGTTCAACATATACATTAAGACTTGTCATACTGGGATTTCTGGAACGTCAAGCAAATGCCATACTTGGGTCACAGCAGATTGCTCACACAAGACTGAAACTGCTAAGAAATCATGTTCCATGTAAAAAAACGGATCACCACAGATTCAAAGAGAGTACTCAACATTCGCATGGAATAAAGAGAGGAAGTATGAGTGCAGAGGGATTCTCAGTAAGTGAATGTCACATGAAGACAATCCTATTTTTCCCATATCCTAAAGATTCACCCTCAATGTTAGTTCATCACCTTCAAACGCGTTAGCAGATGAAGCTTTGTCTACTTGAAGATGATATCCAGCCAAGTAATCCTCTTTAGCTTGAAGTTCCTTGGCGATTTCTTCATCCATAACCGAAGCCAAGGAACACGGTGCCACAGGAGGACTTTTTCCCCATGGACTCAGTTTTTTCGATGATGTATCACCAACAGAATTATTTACAACGATATTTTCCGATACTTCCATAATTTAAAATAGCCTTATTTACAATTCTGTATAAATATATCCGAATTCAAAAATATTACTTTGGAAATTTATCTGGACACGTTTGGAATTTATATTAAACACCGGAACACGAAGCACCAAATTGGGAAAATTAAATAGTATTGTTTCGGGCGATAAAAATTTTATCTCACTAGACGTACCTTCAAAATTGAACCGTAAGGTATTAAAAATCCCTAAACAAATCTGGTTTCTTTGAAATGTGGTGAAAAAATAAGAGAGTAGGTTGTTTATGTGGTCAAATGGGATTGCAAAGATTTGAAAAGTTGTGATGCAATAGTTGCGCATGGCATTTGAAGTTTAATCACTGACCAGGCCACAGGCTCGATTACGAGCCGCTGTTCGGGAAAATAGTCTCTGCTTATGCCCACGAATTCACGGCCGTTCACAGCCGCTCCCTCTTCAGAAGAAGGGCAGAAATATTGGGCCTAACTTTTCCTTCTGATTTAACATAAATCCACTTTTAAATAAACAGACTCTTAAAGTGTTCCTCAAACAAGCAAAAGCTTGAGCGATACGATTGGTCTATAAAACTAACCCTATGAGACACAGTGATAATCAGGTTTAATTTTAATATAGTTACAGTATTACCCCAGAATCAAACATTAAGGTCAGGAGAATAAAAGAGATCGGTTTACCAACTAAAGAAGCTCTTAATTGTTTGATAAATTCTCCTTATAAACGCCACATGAAATATGCAGAGAAAAGTATGAGGAATCTGCACACTGATGTTAGGATGTAAAGGGTTAAGGGAATTCCTGATTATCGCATGATAAAATTTTTGAGCTAGCTGCATGGCTCGTAAACCGGGTCTAAGGGCAAACCGTAGAAGCTGAGTGAAAATTTTGGTCACTATCTTCATTTACCTAAAAACGTTTTAAAAAGATGAAAAAAAAATTCCAACTTCTTTGTGCTTCTAAACAATTTTTTTTTCTCTTTTTGCTAGGCGAAGCTTAATTTTTGGGGGTACGAATCAGAAACACGCACACTTTTCCCGTGGGTAGTTTACTTACCAAGGTATAATATTTTTTCTATCATTTCTTCAGCTGTTCTCAATCAGTGTGATTCAAATGATAGCGTGCGAGCAGGCCCCATTATGACACGAGCGCTTCCAGTCACGCCCGTAAGGATGTGTGAGATTTACACAACTCACTGGCGAGAGGTCTGCCAGGGGTCTTATTGGTGCCAGACCCTCAGCAAACTACCCTCCGACTAGTCTCAAATCTTCCCACGGGTGGAAAAAACATACTTCTTATGGGGTTAATAACAAGGGCCTATTCGCAAACTATTGATCATGAAATAAACACACTGCACCTTTCAATATATGATTGCTCGTGCAATCATATAATATTCTTCCAAACCTCACCAACAACAAAGTGCTTTTCTGACTGTCTGCTTCACTGCTTGTCTCACCTCACTAATCTTCCAGCAATAAAGGAGAGGGTTTAAAGAAGTTTAAAAAAAAAAAAACTAAAACAGATGCAGTTCCTCTGATTGCATTGAGAAGTGATGAATATGTTTCACTGTAAATGAACACAATTTCCACCACATAACGAGGTACATAACAAAAAACTAATGCTAACTGCACCCACAGTGCACTGTGCACTGCCTTTCCGTATCGCGCTATGTTCAGTGCATTTGGTTGGCTCGGTTGTTGTTGAACACGATCTTGCACTTGAGTCTGAAGATGACTAAGAGGGCGGAAAATCTTTGTGTATGAGGCGTTTGAAATAGCTAAGCAAGATGGTATAACTATACACCCATACCAAAAAGTTATACGGTATTCTAGGTGAAAGCATAAACCTGCGACAGTGGATAGAATCCGAAAATCCTCCCACTCCTCCCCCCCCCCCCTTCCAGGGTGATTAATAGTGACTGGTTCCAAGGTAAATATGCATTCTTTCATCCCGGCAATTTCCCCTAAAATTATCGAGATTTTTCTTTTACTTTCGAAATAAAATTAAAAATGTTAAAAAAAAAAATAATAAGTGATGTGAAATTTGTTATTATAAATAGTGTGATCTTATCTCCATCGACTACCTTTTACGCTAGGAATTCTCCTGGCGTAATAAACGGCTAAGAACCCTGAGGAGTTTGGCAAACCTATCTTCGTGTGTATAAAAGCAGGTATAAGTTATAGCATTAAGGACATACAAAGACATTTATGACATATAATAATTTTACTATGGGAAAAGAAAACCCTTTCTTTGGAGGTGAAATGTTGCAAGAATATAGAATGATGATAAATGTACCTCTAAACTATCTATCTTTTTGTTCATATTTTCTCCTTTTTTTCTGTATGTGCAAATCAATTCAAGAAACACTGATACTTACCGTTTTAAAGAGGATATGTTAACAGACATTTCAAACAGGAAAATTTCATCTCTCAAGGACGAAAGACAATATTATTGCCAGTTAATGTCATCCATCGATTCGATTCTCAATAAGCGGTCTTCGTTTTTCCTGTAGGTTATGTAACCGTGTATAACGAGAGATAATTTCGTCTGAATACCACCTGCGCGTCCAAGATAACCTAAAACTCACATTCTTAACAGTCTTTGCAAACAAACTTCCTTAAAAACGCCTACTTATTCAAAATTCGAAAATGAAATGCTTATTCTGTCACAAGAGAGGCAATTTTCTTCCCAGGTTTCTCTGAAAACGCCTTTCATCGAATAGGCTCTTTATCAATTTCTTTGTAACGGGCAATCGTACTATAAAAGATTCCCACGGAAAATTTAAATTTTTCATCAGTTTTACAGCACCGATGAACAATAGAAATATTCCTTCTCCTGCAAATTATCTTTATCTTTGACAATTAAGTGAGGCACGATGTTTATCATAAAGAGTAAATAATTTCTCATCATCTTCTCTTGTTATTACCTGAAAGAGTTGTGCGTCACAATTGATTAAGCTCAATCTTGGAATGAATTTGCAATCAGAGGTAAAAATATAGAAATTTGTGAATTCATCGTCATTTCACAAGACAATTGTAAAGCTATCCGTACTTTGGAATACTATCGTTGATGGGATAATTAAATAAGTGAGTGTTGTTATCAGTTCAGGTTTAACTCCTCAAAGTCCCTAACATTCTAATCAGCTTCGGGAAGGTAGGTTAGATTACAATGATCACGGTGAAACGTGAATCAGTCCAGAAACAACTTGAATGCAAACGGTGCATTTTTTAAATTTAAAGTATAGACAGAGACGACAAATGTTCGAAAACAAAGGTTTAGTGTTTTACATGACAAATCTTTCCTGCAAAATGCTCTCCACTCTTCACGCACATCCGAATGCACTTGAAAGCGGAGACAGTTACTCGACAGGTATGAAGTTTGACGTCACCACATTTAAGTACCCTCTATCAGTACTATCAACTGAGTTGATAACGTAAATTAGCCATCGTAAAGAGTTTCAAAGCTGACTTTACGAGCGTTAGCCCTTCCTCATTAGCTCTGACGAGAGGCTAACGCTCGAAACGTCAGCTTTGAAACTCTTTACCGTGGCCAGTTTTCTTTATCAATTCATTTGATGATACTAAATTATCCTGCAATACTCTCCCACTGACACAGCACCACAGTTCTTTAGAAACTTACCGCTTTCATGCAATGCAATGCCTGGTTTCTTTCGACACTCAATCGTTGCAATGCGCGCCTGACGCGCAGTAAACATCTCACTGCCCCCCTATGTAGAAGCTCATGCATTAATCACTCTATTCCCTATCTTCTTTTTCATACAAAATACATATATTTCACTTTCTAAATTTGTAAATTAAGAAAAGAAAACAACCAATATGTTATCTAGTAACCAGTGTCAGGCGTTCAGCAAGTAAAACGGTGCGAAATCTGAGCGAAATAGCAAACAGCGCAATAAACTCCTACCCAGACCTTTCATGGCCACGCGGTTGTTAAGTTATACTGTGGAATCTGGGTGCGAAATTAACGGTGCGACAGTAGCGGCAAATTAGTAATATATTACTATATTATATTATAATAATAATAATATTAATAATAGCGACAAACGAGGGAAGCCTAGGGGTTAGCTACTATCGAGCCGCTTAATATCGCGCTTCGTTTTACTCCGTGAACGCCTGGAAACGGGGTAATTATCCGGTCGATTCGATTTCTATCAATCTTTAGTTAGAATTACACACACTGTACAAAATCTGATTGCGTAATTTCCACCAATCTAAAGGTAATTCTCGCTATCAGCTGAAGGCTCTTCTTCTTCTTTCCGTTCTAGAATTAAAAAAAATAGGAAAAGAAATAAGCATCTATATATATATATATAGGAAGTCTGCAAGTCGATTTTCGCGTGGAACAGTGCTCAATACGTTGAAGCAGAGCAGAATAAATATTATGAGAGGAAAAAAGGACGCAACTACATTTCCCGACAAGCCTGTTTCGTGAATCGCTTCCTGAAGAGTGAAGCGATTCACGAAACAGGTTTGTCGGGAAATGTAGTTGCGTCCTTTTTTCCTATCATAATATTTATATATATATATATATATATATATAATATTGAGGTAGAAAGAGGAGGTTTTTGGTTAGAAGCAGTAGTGTTACTATAACACATTAGGTTAAAAATGATCGCAACTTGCCAAACAGCCACTGCTCACTCATTGGATGATCTTTTCAAGGAAATAAACAAGAAATTGAAGGATCATAGATAATTGAGGAATTGGCGTTTAAGAATTAGAAAAGGGATTTTAATCGTCTTCGGACTATGGTTTAATCTGCTCAGAAACCTTGTCAAATAAAGATAACAAGCCACGTTGCGATTCACGAATCTTGAAACGTTTAGCCCAAGTTGTTCAACTCCGTTCGATAAGGGCTTACTGGTACATTGCATGAGCGTTTATTGACAGGATGAAAACGGGGTGTGTCTTGTCCCATTCTCCTCTCGTCCTACGCTGTTCTCGTCTTCAGCGTTTGCCTCATGTCAAAAAAAAACTACAACAAAAACAACGAATTACCTGCATCTACCGGAGTATCGTTCCTTTCATCGTTTTCATTAGGTGCATTAAGAACGCTCCCTTCTCCTGTGTCTTGAGGATTATTTTGTTCTACTGTCGCGGATTCTACAAGAAATAATAAACCAAAATTATGTTCATATAGTCTGTCTCAGTTCTTGATAAAAAGGTGAATTCTCCAGACTGTCGTCAGAGCCTCAATCTGAAAAAAACCAATTGGAATCAATACTTAAAGATCGTCTATCCGCTGAGGGAATCTGGAATCTATTTCTGCATGTGTTTGATTTTCCAATTGATGTAATGAAATCTAAATTCAAAACAGACAGACATAAACCCCTAAAAAAACCAACATTTCAGTAAGTTTTCATCGTGACAGGGGACTTTGTTTTGAAGATAAAGTCGGTAAATACTCCCCTATCACATAACATTTGACGTTGCGCAGAACAAAAAAAAAACGGACGAGGGAAAAACAATTTCTATATAGAAAAAATCTAGAAGCCCCCTGCGCAGTCGAAGCAATTTTTGAGGAATGTTTGCTGGTTTGCAGTGTCTATTCTCTGTCCTCATGTCAAAACTAGATATCAGTTGTTTTAATTACTTTCCAATCGCTATACTTGTTTTGAATATATTATACATATTTGATGAAATGATAGTGAAAGCCACCCTCTATCCTTTACTAACCTGTCGTAACATCTTCGGTCCCGTTCTTCTCATTGTCTCCCGGCAAAAAAATCAACCTGAGCCTGTACTGCTCAGTTTCACTACTGAAACCATCCTCTTCTTTTTCCCGCGTACTCTCAGGGGGGGTATCAGGAGACGTTTGTCGCTCCCTGGCGCCATAACCCGTTTTACTGGATGGTCTATAAGCTTCATTTGCATGTGGGTCTGTGGTCCAACCTTTGATCATATGTCTGTGAACATGCGAGGCTTCCTCGCAAGGTGAGCGTGCTGGGCTTGACCTGTTCCGTGGAATCCGCTACGATAAACAGAAAAGTTTCCTGGCTTCAAATCTATCTCAAAGCAAAAGTTAATCGATAGAGCTAATGGTTCCTTATCTTCCTCCACTCCTTAAAAAAAAAAAACAGTTTCTTCACGAGCAAAGTTCCATACAGCCAACTATTCGATGGATGCGTTATTTATTCCTAGAACGACTTGGTCGAGTTCTAAAAACATCGCAAGCGATATACAAAATAAAACTAGCAAGGGGCTCCCCCCCCCCCCCCCCCCCCCCCCACGACCCCAACAATCCCCGAAAAAAACAAAGCAGCTGTATGAAAACTAGAAACGACAAGGTATGCTTTCTTGACCCCACTTTTGGCTCAATATTGATTGACGCCACGAGATAAATCGTAGGGCCTCAGATATTACAATAATTTAAGTTTAATTAGCTTGAGTGAGTGTATGGTCTTACCTGCTCGTATCTTTTGATAAACTTGGAGTAGCGCTGGTAATCTTTCCACTCTTTCACTCTCTCGTGTTCTTTCAGCTCTTTTTTTTGAATTCTTCTACTAAATTCATAATCCAGTAGATTCTGATACTGCCTTTGCTTAAGATTCATGAGTTGGGTGACAGAGTAGATCCGAGCCACTCCCCAGATGTATTGCTTCTGTCCCATGCTCAAATCCTCGTGTCGGAGAAATTTGTTCGTTCTCACAAAGCTTGGCAGCTCAACCGGCGTTCCGTCGAATCTCGACGGGGTCTTCGGGCGCCCTGTCGAGCGTACCCGCTCCCGTTCTTCCTGGCAGAGGTAGACCTTGCTCGGCGGTCGGTTCAATTTCGCTGCAGTGCGTATTCCTTCTCGTTCGTACATGCGAGGTGGCTGACAGGAGGCACTTCGGGAACTGTATGTTACACTATGGTTGCTAAAAGACGAACCTGAAAAAGAACGTAAGCTATGTAGTTTCCCCACTCCTGCCCCCTCCTTCCTAAGCCTCTCCACCACCCTCATGATAAACATTTATTTGTCTTCCCGACTTGCAGTTGCAAAAAATGAGAAAGTACCTATAAAAAATCGACTTTAAAACACATCGTAAGGTTCAAAACTTGTTCTCTTAAGAGACCCGTCCGGTTTACCAATGAAAAGTGACGAAACTAACCTGGCCTGTCACGTGGTCTGTTATCCGGCGCTGGAGGTTTTTCTCTCACTGCGCCTGCGCTAGCTGCCCTCTCAAGACTGTAAAGAAATGGCGGTATATATATTTGAGAGAAGAATTCAGCGTGCTTTTTAAATTAGTGTGATTCATTGGGCGAAAATCAATTTTAAAAAAAATTCAAATTTATCACCGCAAGGTCAAATGAAAACTCGCCATGTTTGTGTCCCTATGGACCTGGCTGATTGGGTCCTTCCTCCGTTAGTTCTCACGGCGCTACCGGCCCGCTGTACTGGAGGCTCAGGTGATAGGGGACTAGATGTGTGCCTGGGAGACTGTCCCTGAGAATATGACGCACTACTGGAGGGTCTTGACTGATACTGTTTGAAAAAAAATAAAAAAATAAAAAATAAAAAATTAGGATTACAGGCTGTAACCCAAAAGCGAGAACGCACAGAATGAATTCGCGCGACGTTAAGAGGAACCACACGGGAAAGAAGCCTCTCTCGCGCGCGTTTCTGCTCCCACGCGCGCGTATTGGTAACTCTCAGCGCCTGCTACCCATGGTAAGTTACCTTGATTTAGGTTTGAAATGTTTGGGAGGTCGCCCACAACACTTTCGACAATTCAACAACACATTGCAACTAGCTATGAACACAGGATGATCCTCGCGTGGATCATATCCGCAGCATGAACCACGAATCGCGAGCGTGTGCTACGCGCAATGGTAAAAGCGAAATAAAAAGTTGTAAATAATATCCATAACACTAAACTGTACAAAAACAACCAGAGATTAAATGATATCTTCGATATTGACGGCGAGAAGTGTATGAATGAAGGCTGTAACAGATTTGCTAGCTAATCCTGCTTGGATTCGTGCGGTTCAATCGACAATTAGGTTAAATGCATGTTACTAAGCAAACCCAAACGAATATAACCATGGAAATTTCCGCAATGAGGATTCAGCTATCCTTACGTGGTATTGCGTTATAAGGACTATGTTTGGACTTTTTTGGAGTGATCATTTGTTCGATTGAGGCTCAATTGTTCAAAGCAACTAATCAGCAAGTAAGCAGAATTACAGCTATGAATACAAAAGGGCCGCAAACAAACACTCAAAATCTTAAAGGAAAACAAAAAAACGCAAGCCTTTAAACGGAAAACATCAAAATTTTTAACACAAACTTGAAATAATTTTGCTCAATGTAACGTGCATTACTCAACTTGAAAGCGGTATTTGATGAAAGCGTTGATACAAACGAAAAAGGAAAAATTGACAGTGGGAGCCGAAAGATTCAGTAGGCTGCGAATCAAGATAAATATCCACGAAATGGCTGTTACTCTCAGCTTCCTCGACCTTCCATTACCGCAAATGATACTCAGAAACTTTTACCGCAAAAATAAGGCGGCGTTTGCATTTATTTCAATGATCTTCGCGCAGCCTGAGACCTCCAAAGAAGGTTAACATGTCGCTGCTTGCATTCATCAACTCACAAAAATTACTCTTAACAACAAACAAACAAACATGTTTAGACATGACATAAATAACCTTTGAAGAAGATTGTTTGTCATTTTGATCCAAGACAACAGTAATGAGCTCTTCGACCTGTGGCACAGGAACCTGTTTCCATTTCAAAGATTCTTTCCGAACAGTCATGACTTTTCTCGGTTGTACACGATATAAAATAGCACGATCCCTCCTGATTATATTCACGTCTACATTGGCATTCTTTTCTTGTACGACGCATTTCACTGGTGCTAGAGTTTCCCGCATTTTCTTGGCGAAGGCAAAGGTTTAATTATCAACCTGCCAGTGCAAAACGTAGACGGTAACTATGACAGGAGGGCAAATTTGCATCGAGACACTTTACCCATTAATCGTCTCACTCTATCGCGATTCCCATGAGCTTGCTAATGAAAGAACCAACAGGCTGATGTGAAAGGCCATGCTCGACTTGTGGCACACAAAAGTTTTCACACTCGAGATTTGATTGCAAAATTGAAAAAATTTCCATCACAAAAACAAAAAGCAGAGCTGTTGCCAAGGAGAGAATTGTTGACACTTCGGCGAAAAGAGATCAATTTCACTGTCACCAATACTGTAACAGGAAAACCACTTAAATCCTCAGCAGCTGGTTAACAAAGTCAACAGAATTTTGCTCTGTATGTAAATAAGCCTGCCACGAAATGAATTTCGACGGATACAAAAGATAGCAATCATATTCAATACATTATTGTAATCTTTTCATATTCTTTCCGTTTTAGAATTTATTTACGACTTCGGTGACTTTGAAGAAAGAAGTACCAAATAATAAATGTAAGAATTCCGCTAAGATGATTATAAAAATGAAGGAATATTATATCTTCAAAAGTTATAATTGCAAAATGCAACATTCACCGGTTTAACCTCTATAATCCGAAAAAGAAACTTAAAAAAATTGGTTTAAATTTTTTTTTTTAAAAAGCGCGAATATTCAAGAAGAAGACCACGCTTCCTATTCGTTTACCAGCGTAATAAAACACGCGGAATGTTGGGAGAAGACGAGAAAAGTTTGTTAATTACGAGCCGAAGCCGAGTGATTTACAAAATTTTCGAGTGGATTGTTACGTCGGTAAACCGATAGAAAGTGGGGAACTCAAAGTGCGGTCTATTGCTCTTATGAAATAAACGCCCATTCAATTTCCTATTGGTTTTTTTTTTTGACCAATCAGGGCGCTCGTAATATCTTAGTCATGTCAGAAAAACGCACTCCCCATTCTACTCTAAACTCTTCTATCACGCAATCATTGACACAGAAAAACCAATAAGCTGAATAAGAATAAAGGTCCACTCACTCACATGTTCAGAGAATAATCAAGAAAACGCATTTTAACCGCAACGGCTACGACGATACTGGTCAAATTTGGGAAAAAATACTGTGAAACGAGCTTACAGAGTCATCTTTTCAGACTGCTGTCTTTGCAAGGTGCGATTAGATTACGGTCAAAACGTGAAAAAGAGAAGAAAACCCTAACGGATTTTTTATTTTTAAATCAGGAAAGAAAACGTTGGTCTTTCCCTTTTTTAGTTTCTTTATTTTACTTTTGTAAGAACTTTTGCTACCGTCCACACTTACAACGAGACTACAATAAAAAATACCTTTGATAATAAGACTTCAGAGGCATGATTAAGAATTGACTGATTTAATCTGTAATCTTTGTAAACTCTTGCTTTGCGTGGTGAAAGATTTTAAGAAATTCAAAATATTTAGCATACAATGCAGTGGTCAATGTACGTGCATCGAGTCGCTTCAATTGGGTTTCTTGTGATAAAAGTCTATCAATGTCGAGCTTAAATGGTGCAAAATTTGGAAATAAGACGGACAAATAAAAAATTCTGGGTCAGGAAATGATACCTTCTCAGGGATACTTGCGTAAGTCTTCCATAGTATGTAGTAAAAATCTCTTTCCGCTACTGTACTGAAATTGCCGTAGTGATTGCGAGCAGAACTTATGGACAAACAGCACCACAGCCCTTTGATCGTGGCGGGCTTACCGCGGGACATTCTCGCGTGACCACCTCCGCGTTAGACGCTCTGACCCAAAAAGGTCTCGCGCGCACCTTAGCACCTTTTGTTTCAGTTTTGACACCAAGGCTCTCAAATGATTATCTTTATAATCATAACCATCTCAATTTCCCCAAATGTGATTGGTGCAGTAGGTGCTCTATTTTTCGCTAATCATTCTGTAGAGTTGTAATCGGACGGTGTAATCGAGCAGTTGGCTGTAATCGAACACCAGTTATAGGACAGTTGAAGCAGCCAATCATACTTAATCCTTTCAGTCAAATCCACCAATCACAGAATTGATCACAATAACCATAGCAACAATAACTTATCCTAAATAAGTTGTGGAATTTCCAAAGTTGAGGAATTTTTTAACTTGGACTTTGTGTCGTCCAATTCTGTCTGTAATTACACTCATGATTAACAAATTGGACTCCCGCCTCGCGGCCGTCCAATTTTGTTAATCACTCGTATGATTACAGACCGAATTGGAATCCATTCGGTCCAATTACCATCATTAATCCAAATTTCTTCCCAAAGTAACACTTCTGAGCTCGCCATATCTTCAATAGAACTTAGTTTACTGAAGGCCACTTTCCTTGAGAGATTCATATTTCGGAAAGGCAGCTTTTAAAAGACAATGGCCGTGTTTTATGACTGGAGTTAACTTCCCATGCATCTTCAACTTTTATTTATACCGATGGACCATGCTTCAAAGTAGCTTGTGGGGAAAATAAAGCTAACGCAGTGAAACTTCTAATCTATGCGCGACTCTTATTGCAGCTGACATATGTGCACTGCGGTGAAGAGACTAACATAAGCGATCCTCGTAGCTATGAACACTATTGAGATAGTAGTTGAAACAAGGCCTGAAAAAAATTCAGGCCCGTACAGGATTTGAACTCATGACCTGTGCGACAACAGTGCAGCGTTCTACCAACTGAACTAACAAGCCAACCGGGAGCTGGTCATTATGCTGGATCCAAATAAACCATCCAAGTGGTTAATAATGACTGTAAATATATGAAAATCATATATGTGCACTGCAGTGAAGAAACGAATATAAGCGATCCTCGCAGCTATGAACACTAATGAACCAGTAGTTGAAATAAGACCTGAAAAAAAAATTCAGGCCCGCACGGGATTTGAACCCATGACCTCCGCGCACGGGCCTGAATGTAAGCTTACTAGTTCAGGAGTGTTCATAGCTGTGAGGATCACTTATATTCGTTTCTTCACCGCAATGCACATATATGATTTTCGTATATTTACAGTCAAATAAGAGACTCTTATTTTTCGTTCCAGAATCCTCACAGACCTCTTGCTGGCTCGCCTCTCACGCTTGCATGACTTTAAGAGCCTTCGCAAAAACCATGTGAGATACCCGTGCGGGAACACAGCAGCTAAACGTCTGCACATGTGCAAACGTTTTAATGGCTAGTTGGCGAACTTTTAGGCGGTCAGAGCCAAGTTATCTCACATGAGTTACAAAACACCACAAAAGCCAGTGACTCACGGTATATTAAAAAGGTATGGCTTTTTCGATAAATCTCAAAACGAAAAGGTAAGAAAAGTCTCAATGTCTCCTTTTTTCTATTTTTGTTTTCTTTTACAGATTCCTGTGTACGTCTCCATTTTTTTTTTCGAAAATTTCCGTGACAGCGGCTGTCTCGTATGTTTTCTTTTGACATTTTGCGCGGGAAATTGGTGCGTGACTGGCCCAAATTTGATCCGCTTGCGCATGCCTTTCGTTTGACCGCTGTGGTCATTGAGGGTCTGTTTTCAAGCATTACAATTTCTGTGAAGCAAACACCCAAATGCATGCAAATGTTTGCAATTTATTCAAATTTAAGATTACATTTTCTCAGCTGAGCAAAAGGTGGAAAATTTCACACAAACTCTCACTGACAGGCAGCCAAACAAAGACACGCACAAAGATATACGGATATACATTCTCTGACAAAGATAAACAACTCGTGGGAACAACTGATCAGAAAATTGAATATTTGAAAATTGCCTTACATATTGAAGAGCAGGGATGTAGGTGAGGGCTCTTACTGAGATGATTTATTTTTTATTTATTTTTTTAACCAATCGGGTAACAAAAGAAAGTGAATCCAAAGAATCTGTATTGCACGAATCACTTATTGCCGCATCAGACAAATTGTCACTTTTAGTAAAACACAGCTTGTATGATGACATGACGCTTGCAGAAGTAGTATGGATGTGACCTCCCCTCCCCCATTGACAAATCCCAGCTATACCCCTGAAGACAGTTCATTTTCTCAAGATGCCTATAGAATATTCCGAAAGTAATAAAGGTATCCTTCATGGTTCCCCCAGTGGTATTTAAGTTGTCTCACAGTTAAACCTAACAGATCATCACTGCTGCAGGTTATCCCAGTCTCGATGGGATGAAGTAACAAATAACTTTGTTTCTTACTCAACATAGGCTCCATATACAAGTCCAACCCAATTATCCCAGAAAAATATCACTTAATTACTAGTACTCTGCTGTGTTGTCAAAAACTTTCAAGAAAACTGATTGCTAACCTTCATTATCGAGGTATTGTCAAGTGACGGTTGCAGCCGAAAAGTCTTCATCCCAACAGGAGTGGATAATGAACTTTCGTACTTCTCTTGCATCTCTCGCCGAAGCCTGTCCTGCTTTGCTCTAAAAATGAAAAAGAAAATTGCGTGAATTGCAGCGCCTCACAATATTGTGTGACTTCTGTCTTGTCACGCAACCCTGGTGTTCTGAGCAGTATGAAATTTAACATCAAAACGTTTCCCAAGCAATCTCTCTCGGTAAATGTGTATCACATGTGTTCGACGTTATTCTGTGATGGAAAGAAAACCCATAACTAAAATAGATCCCAAAAATTGTAAATGATTGAATGTTTTTTTCCTGGTGTCATTAAAATCTCAATCATTCTCGTTTTTACGCGTGGCCGAAGCCAGAAAATATCTCTGTGTCAAATAAAAATTTATCGGGACTGGTTATTATTTAAGATACAGTAGATAAATTAGACTCCCCTGCCGTCTTTTATGAAACAGAGAACCAAAGTTTAAATCCACGTGTAAACAAAGCTGGACAAGTTGTCAGAGTGAGAATCACCGTCGCGAAATTGGATATATGTAATAACCGAATTCTCCAATCGCCTAGACGTGTTGCGAGGAATACCGTAACTCATAGAAGAGAAACCAACGTTCGAAACGAAATACGATCAGTTAAATCCTAAATTACCACTAAGTTTAATATGTTTCGCCATTGTAGTCCTAAGGGAAGCGAATTTGTTTGAAGTTCACTCAAACCAATAATAATAATTGTGATCGAACACAATTTGCTTTATCTTTAAGAAACTCGACCTTCGATTGCATTACAAATTCACTGGCGGACAGAAGAATAAAATACTCTTTCGAAATTACCCAAATATATTCCCTTAGAT